AATTAAGTCGTCGTATCGAAACGGCTACCATATAAAGTTTTACAAAGAGTTTCAAGAATTTAAATCTAACGTAAGTATTTTGAGCGTAAAATACGAATTATTTCCATCGATCGATATTGAAGTTTCGACGAAAATGGTAATTTCGAAAGTGCTCGAATTATTCGTTAAATCTCGAAATAATTGCGCAAACGGCGAAGCTAAAAGCGTTGTCCGAGTCATTCCGAATTGACCATGACACGAGTTGTTCATTCAAGGAGATCGAGATGCCTATAACCCCAATGCCAAAATTATCGAAGCCGAATATTAGGATTTTCTTGTTGGATACATGTATATATTATTTCTCCGTTAAATATTTTAGTCTCACACTTCTGCGTTATATGAAAGCAGTTTATTGATATTGATTAAGTAATCTCTTCGACTTCTATCTTATCTTTCGATGAATTATCGATATCTCTTTTAATTGGAAATTAAGCGATCAAAGGATATTCGAGTTTTTTTAAATATGGAGCAATCTTACAGCAATCTTGGTGACTTTGATCTTGGTACCTATCGGAAACTAGATCAAGGAATTGCGTAATCTCGAATTGATCTCTTCTTTTAGCAAAACCGTTATTTTCTCTCTATGATTTCTTTTTAAAGTTTTGCAATAATTCTTATCTACTTTTTTTTAATTCGTATCGTAATCTATATGCTATTACAATCTGATTATGCGTTAATATTGTCGCTTATTATCAGATAGCTGTTAAACGTCTATTATTGTTCTATTACAATTTCTAAAATTTTGTAAAAATTTATATTTTTAGAGGTATTCGATCGTTTTGCTACTTCACTGAAATCCATCCAATTATTATTATTATCTTATTATTATTATCACTTCTATATAATCTATATCTTCTAAGATATCGAATTTCTCAAACTAACACTTTTTTTAAACCGCAACTATTATCATTCCGTCACAAAGGATCCTCTTCCAAAGAAGCCGGTTCTTTCTTGATATGATCAATTCTTTTTTCTCGTACGGAGCCTTATAAATGTACTTTAATTATGAAATCGAATATCAATTCTCTTCCATATCAGTTCTCCATTTCACGGCATCACGTTCGTTGGCCAAGAAGAGGTCCAGGGCGCAGAATGAAAATAAGCATCGACCCGATCGGCGTCGAATCATCGCCGATTCTAAAGATAAATTCCGCGGTGCGGTGTACGTTTTCACAGGCCCGTACGTAGAAAATCCTCAGCGTTGATCTTTCTGTGTGCACACATCGATGGTGGTAGGGATACAACGTTCGGGAACGAGAAGGAGCAACAGGCAGAGAGAGAAAGAAAGAGAGAACCGCATCCTGGCGAAGCGACGTCATTTTCGTCTTTTACGATCGCGAGGAGAGAAGCCCGCGAGAAAAGGTGGGAGCCACGACGAACGGTTGTAGCCGAAGCTTTCAGCGGCCAGTCGAGACTTAGCCTGCGAGTCAGACGCATCCCAGACGACGAACGAACCTGAATACTTGCCCCGTGAGTAAGCATGTGCACTTTTTTCAGTCCGTACCACGTCCGATGCACAACGAGTTTTCGCCTTTCGACCTCGCGTTTCTTTCAGGACCTTTCCTGGATCCGCACGATCGTGACTCTAGTTCCCTCTAAAATCTGTATATGGTGTGTGCTTGTGTGTGCGCCTTGTGTGAACGAGGAAAGTGATGTGTGTGGGTACGCGAAAGTGAAGAGGGACCAAGGAAGAATTCGAATAGAGGCGGGTGATCTCGTATGATATCGTGAGAGATTTCGCTTTTGCAGTTGAACCAAGTGATAAATGAAACTTGGATTGTCTTGGGCCTTTCGTCTCTTTTTTGATTGGTAGTCATATTAAGTTTAAATTGTCGTAACTGGAACGTATATCGAAATACGCCCGCATTCCACGAAGGCAAGTTTGAAAAGCGATCGGTTATTATGCAAATTTCGGCGCTCGTTTCGCAACGTGGTGGCCCGCGACTTGTTGTCACCCATCGTGCAGCCACGGTGATATCAGAAATATGTGCGTGTGACTCATGAAAAATTTCAAGTATTCACGCGTAACCGCTGTGACAACATTGTCCCAGACTACCGATCTCCTTGGTGTACCGGGAGTAGACAGGAATTTCTAGCTACGAGATAGCAGATCGCGGTCACGATGTTGTTCCGGACGCTCGCTGATAACGAATTCTCGAAAGAACGAATGCACGCGTTGCTCTATATTATCTTTCTTTTTTAATATTCGGTGCGGAGGATCGATGAAATCGTCAGAGCAATCGTGCGATCCTAGAATCGATGATTCATCGATTGGCATCGGTTGGCAATGATAAGTCGAAAATCACTAGCTCCACAACTCGTTATATTTGTGTGTTTTATTTTAATCGAATAAATTTATAAAAATATTCGATTTCTATTTCATGATCTAGGTCGTATTCTTTTACAGACGAATTTCTTATTTGCTCCAAAAGAGATGTAGAACAATCTTCATTCGTAACGTATGTGGATTGTGCAAAAATTTCCAGATCAAGTGTCAGAAATCGTAACGATAGTAGACTAAGGTAGGGAGGAAAATTTTCTTTCGAACGTAACAAGACACCGATCCGAATGGAGTAACGAAACTCGGCTATGCGTAACCCGAAAAGGTTCGACGGCAGGCGACTAGCGACGATTCCACCCTCTCCTCTCGCGTGTAAAAATAACCCTCTCCTTTGATACAAGCTTCTTTACAATCCGGCAGCTCGGCTTATTTTTTATTCAAAGTTATTTCGACCGAGTGCTCCGTAACTTTTGGTAGGTCTGACTATCTATAATCTATAATCCAAAACGAAAGTTATTATATTGTTAAATTAAATTTCACATTTCGTTTTTGTGATTTTATTACATTTATTATATTTATGATAAAAATAATGGTGTCATTTAGGTTAGACGGTATTTAAATTCCACAGAGTAAAGGAGAAGTGATGACGCGAAGAGGTTCATTTCTTCGGAGCATTATGTCTAGAATTTCTGTTTCTTTGAACTGGTTGGAACTCTGTTTTTTTTCTCTCTCTCTTTCTCTTTCTCTCTCTCTCTCTCTCTCTCTCTCTCTCTCTTCTCTTTACATACCTGGTATCTCTGATTACCAGTAAGCCAGGAATCATACATACTCGCTCATATAGAAGATATGATACGAAAACAAGAATTCAAGAACCAAACTTCATTCTCTTCTTTTTTATTTAAATACCAAATTTCATTTTCAAACCTTAAAAACTGAAGAAAGATCAAAGAATGATGTCCTTGATTAAAATTTCACTTCTGACCGGTCCAAAAGGAAAACACGGTTCTAAAAACAGTATTGGTAGGAGTGTCCGAAGGAAACAATGTCTGGAATGTTTCCACGAAGAAAATTAACCCGTTCGTGGCTCTGTCCTGTTGGCCATATCGGTCTCTCCCGCTTCTCGCGATGCATCGGTTTCGCTCGTGTAGCGAAACGAGCGCATAAAATGCGAAAGAATATCCGCGAAGGATCTTCTCCTCGGTTTCGCCTCGGTTCGTCCTGTAGGATCGCATACCTGAATGTCTGACGTCACGAGTGAGGAAGAAAGACGCCTTGGAGCAGCGAAGACGTTTGATTTTATATATACGGACACGGTACAGAGCCCGGGCCTTCTTGAGCAAGAACCTGCCTCTATAAATAGGATATCCGGTCGTTCGCTAATTATACTTCGATGCATGCTGTCCGCATAGCGAAAACTTGCGCGAATTCTCTGTCGAATTCTGCGATTTCCTCGACAATTATCATTGCCACGTCTCTAAGGACAAGCGAGATGTTGGAACGAAAAAAAAAAAAAAAAAATGGAAGGAAAAAAAAGAAAAAAAAGATGTCGAAGAAAAATGAAAAAGCATAACGATTAAAACGGAACGCGGTTAATTGCATTCGTAATTCGTCTCACGGTCATTGAAATCTGCAGCGCGATGAACGCGCGCGAACTCGACCGTTCTCCTTGGGAATCGATCGAGTTCCGCGGAAGAAAATTAAAAAGTACAATTTTGTCGATCGAAGATAAAGCGTGTATGGGAAGCAAGATGATGAATACGTATTCAAGAGCGCAAGTATGATAATTGTGACGCTTCGATAATGTTGTAGATACGTTTTTTTTCTCGTGAACGAGTGAACAAACTAAACCGCCACCATGGACGCGATCAAGAAGAAGATGCAGGGAATGAAGCTGGAGAAGGACAACGCGATGGATCGCGCGTTGCTCTGCGAACAGCAAGCTCGCGATGCGAACGCGCGAGCCGAAAAGGTAAATTTTCAACATTTTCAAGTTATTATAATGCAAAGAATAAAGCTTATGACGAATTGAGAACTTATAAGTGACTTGATATAATATAAAAAAATCGTAAACGTCTGTTTATCTCTCATATGTAGTACAGAATAAAAATAGCGATGAATAATCGCATCGTAATAAAAATGCGATATATGATTGGTAACCGCGTTCAAAAATTTTAATTATAGATTCGGAATTTTTTTGGTGCCTATATAAATCGCTATAATATAATTTTACGGAAATAAAATATTATTATTATTGTTTGTAGTAAATGAATTGTTCGATATATATTTTTTTGTTTAATAAAGGCTGAAGAAGAGGCGCGCGCCTTACAAAAAAAGATCCAGACCATTGAAAATGAACTCGATCAAACTCAGGAGGCTCTTATGCAGGTCAATGCCAAACTTGAGGAGAAAGACAAAGCGCTGCAAAACGTAAGTTAATTGTAATGTTCATTATTAAATAATTTAAATTTCAAATTATTTAAGTATTTTTAATAATTGAAGTTTACTTAATTTACATAAATTAGAAAAAATTGAAAAATTCATCTTAAAAACATTTCAGTTAAAATAAAAACAATAATTTCTTTCGAAAAAACGTAAAAAAAATAAACTCAACCGGTTTTCAAAGGTGAAAACCCATAATTCTTATCAAACAATGTGCTGTTACCGACAGAGTAATGACGTTTAAGCGCCATAAGATGTCGCAGCAATCGTGCGCAAGCGCCTCACGAGGGATGAGTAGATTCCTCGCGAAGTAAGCGCACAGTCGAGCGTTAGTACGCGAAGCTGCCGTTTCGTTTGTTCGGCGGTTCTCGGCAAACTTCGGTTTCATATTGTAATTGACGGGTAGTAGGGGTAACCTGGATCGAGCATAGAGTAATAGACGGAGAAAGAGAGAGAGAAAGCAAGATAGAAATCAGACCAGGACGGTGCAGTGAGCGGAGACCAGCGTGTCTCCTCTCGTGCATGCGTTCGCTTGTCAGGACTGTGTGTGTGTGTTCAACACAAAGAAAGAGACAAAAAGACGTATGCGTGGCGCGGTGAGAAACGTGTTACGAACAGTGACAGACAAGATGGCGGTGTACTTTGTGCAGTGGTAGTAATAGTGGTGCGTAGAGCACATTAAAAAGAGTAGTGGAACGAAAAGGGTTAGTAAAGGGTTGGCAGCTGGTTAGTATGGAACCAGCTCTGACGTCGACCACGAGACGTCGCGGTCATCAACATCATCCGCGACACGCTACGCGCCGACGTCTCGACGCCTCCAGCAGAGGACCCGCGCAGTGTGGCCCTGCTGATATCGTTAAAGATACGGCGATCAGAAACAACGAAACATCAACAACTACAACGTCACCGAAGCTTGATGAAAAAAGCAATGTCATCGATACAGAATGTTCCACTGCGGTGACAGTGCCCACAATCGGCACGAGGTGGCTTCGTGATCCGACGGCCACAGTGTCCACGAAAGATGTAACATCGAATGAAGATTCTAACAAGATAAAATATAATCTTGAACATGATAGAGAAGAAAACATCCGTCATAGGCTCGCGCAGTGTAGCCTGGATGTTCTTGACGAACGACACGAACAATTTGTTCGTAAAAGAAACGAAAATGAGAGCTTTGATAGTTATAAAATGGAAAAAGTATTGGACAATTCTGAATCAAAATCATGTGGGAATGAAATATGTGAAAATGAATCTGATGAAAAGAGAAACAAAGAAAATTCGCCAGAGCCTGAGCACGCGGTCGCGAGGGCTCGCGGTGATGGAAACTCTGACGACGAATCAACTAATGTCGAGGAGGATCCTGAACTTGCTGAACTTGCTAAATTGAGATGTCCTAGCGAAAGAACCGAGGTACAAGCTGAAAGAGAAGCTAAAAGAAGAAAAAGATGCGCTGATTATCCTGGATTAGCCTTTGGATGGTCTATATTCTCCAGCGATACAATGATGAAATTCGGTCTCATAAGGAACGAATTGCAGAATATTATGGGAAACCAGCTAAAACGGGTCAGTATCGTATGATACAATGTTGACGTATCCGGTATGTAGATATGTGTAATTGCATGCAAGGTCACTGCATGATATGACCTTGATGCGCTTTAACGTCGGTCAATGGGTTCTTGTGGGTTATTCGGTCATTGATAACAGAACAAGATAGTCACCTATCAAAATCTCGCTTTCTCTCTCAAATCATATACCGTCCATATTTTTGTCTCTTTTGCGTTTTTTGACTTACACAACGTTTTGTCGAATGAGGTAATTTTCATGAATTCGATACCTTATATGGTGAAGAACGGGTTAAAAATACGTGCGCAGTTAGGTTAGGTGATCTAGTGGTTACCCACGGTGACGTTACAGACCATTTAATCGTTGCTCGAATAGGTTTACGAAGTAACAGACAGTTCTCGTGTTACTCTTTCTGTTTTAATTATACGCTCTTTTCTACCGTTCATCCTGGAAAATAATCGGACCGCCGCGAATACTGATTAGAGAAAGGCCGATTAAAACATCGGAATTTCTGTCGTTGCCAAGTGGAAATCGAAATCAGTTCACATTATCGTGCGTTAAATGAATAATGTATTACTATTTATGGCGGTCATATAATAATACTTAAGAGATTATTAACAGTGAGACTTCTTACGGGTCTTAATGATGCTCGATCGTCCGACAAAGAATACTTATTGTATAAGGTTACTGAACGAAGACAATGGGTTAAACATGATTCCAATTGGTACGATAAATGGCATTCTTATTTAGCCGACACCAAGCGACTAGTGCAGTTAGCGGGAATCCTTAAATTATTTACAATCATATTTAAACGTCAACATTTGCGATATGATGTTTTCATCAATCCTTTTTTAGTATAATCCCCATTTTTCGTTTAAATATGACAGGTATATGACAGGTATAAATATAACAGGTATAAATATGACAGGTATAAATATGATAGGTATAAATGTGACAGTGAATGCAATGCTGCCAAATTTGGAAATTCACTGATTGTACATTATATTTCAGAAATAATTTAACCCAGCAACAAGAAAAAATTTGCTATAAAAAATTTTTAGATTTATAATTCATATAATTTTCTTCTTTCTCTTTGATAATTATTAAAAATCTCTAATATTTTTTAAATATTTCTAAAAAATTTAAAAATGATTATTCAAATAAAAAATTATTTTCATACGTAAATATAAAATATTTTTGCAAATCATTTTCAAAAACGAATCCCACCTTGCACTTGTAATATGTTAAACATGAAGAGTATTCGTCAACATTCTAAAAATACATAGCTGTTAGTATACAGATCCAGTAACTCTTTTATTCTTACACTTCGAAAGAGTATTGCGTAAGCATTGCTCCCAGAATGCGTTCTTACAAATCTGTTTCGTTATGAGCATTTATAAACCAGTGACAAAACAGAAAGTTGCAAAATATTCATAGCATATTGCACGGAAATTTGGAGCATGTCTGCGATTTATTGTCGACCTTTGAAACAAGATCCGTTTCTTTACCGTTTATCTTAGTCAATGTTTACACGTCACATTTTCTACGTTTTCACATCAATGTGCTGCCATCTATGCTTGCATTATTCGCATAATCATCTTATGGATGAATCTGTAAATTCTAAAATTCAAATTTGATTGATTATTTTTAATTCGATATTAATGCGAGATTTGCATAATGTTTAAATTTCAAATAGAATAATTGAATATTAAATAGATTCTGTTAGTTTTTTAACAATGCATTTCAAACTTTATTTATATTGCAATCATTTTTTAATATTTTATATTTATATTTTTTTAACTTTTTGTATTTTATTTAAAGAATATTTAATTTATTTTTTGCATTTATATATAAAATATGAGTTTAAAACGATTCGATAGCTAATAATAATTATATTTTAATGTAATTTAATTTTGTTACACATAATAATTAAAATTAAAATTAATAAATATAAATAGTAAGAAACTTTATAAAACTCATAATCTTGCTTAAAACTACATTGTAAATTAAATTGATTTTTTTAAAACTATATTTTTGAATCAAATGATTGCAATATATTTAAAAAAAATATTAAATTAATGAATATATAATTTATTTCTTACTTACCATTTATAATTACGCTTAAATATCATAATGGAATATACATATTACTATTTCAGTTAAAATTTAAATTATTATTTAATTTAAATTCGTTACATTCAATTTTTTTTAATCGTGTCTTTATTAAATTCTTTCTGAAACATATAATAAAGTATAATTTATTATTAGATATATAACTGTTGTACTATTTGATCTTTATTATTATTTAAATTTGCGAGTCACTCATTCATCATACCTACTTTTAGTTATAAAATCTAAACCGGCAATCATTGGAAACAATCATTCTGTCGAAGAAAGATTATGTTCATACTGAAATTATTTGATGCGTAGAATAAACGTGCATTGCCCCTCATTACGGATGAAAAAGTAAAAGAAGTGAAACAACGCAGGAATTGTTGTCGACCGTCCATTCGAACGGTTGGGCGCGCTCGGGACGGGCGCGGTATTTCCGGGGCTCTGCGCGCGACGACACGTCGATCGGCGTAGCGATACTTGGCGTGCGCATCATGCTTCGTGACACGGTCATGAAAAGAAAAAAAAATGATTAATCAATGAACTAAATGTTTTTAATAATAGACATGATTAAATACAAAGCATTTGAATGATAGTATCAATTGGGACTTGGTTAAATGAAAATTTTTTATTAAATATTTTGGAACAGGCGTCGTTAAGGGCAAGGGACTATTTGATGTCCGCACAATGTTAGCGCGCATGCGCGTCCTGACCGGGGGCAGCCATCTTGCTTTCCAGTCAACAGCAGCCAGTGGTCGTCAGTGTACGACAGCTCGAAGGCTACGAAACTCTCTTTCGCACGGGTACCGGTCGTTTCTCGTACCCTGACATACTTGGTCTTCGTACTTCGTATTCACCGGTTATCTTAGATTCTTGACTTTTTGTTTAAAGTACGAATATTACCTCGATCCATACACGAGATTCGTAATCGCGACGTTTTAAGTGAGAAAACGCTAACACGCGCGAATATTCAGCAGCATGTCGACGCAAGTGCAGGGCACCCTTCTCGACGTGCTCAAGAAGAAAATGAGGCAGACTAAGGAGGAAATGGAAAAGTACAAGGACGAGTGCGAGGAATATCAGAAGCGGCTGCAGGTGGAAGTGATACGCCGCGAGGAAGTGAGTGAAAAAATTACCTCATGACCATATCTCTTCCAGTTCCATCGTACACGAATTAAGTCGACTGATATAGAATTTTTAGTTAAGGAGTTATGTTTCAAGTTTTTCTTTCATTTCACTTATTTCCGTGGCATAACCTATGCGATATCCTACAAATCCATTGATTGTTATATGATGCTTGAATAGCGACATGAATTGAGTATACGACAGGAAGAAATTCAGTGAGTTTTGTTGATTTGGATACTTAGTATATATATTCATGTGAAATGCACAGATTCTAAACACGATTGATTCGTCTCGTGATCGGCTCGTTCTGCGATTAATTTCATTGTGAACTCATACTATATGATTCGCGGCGTGTCTTTACCGGAAATATGGTGCTCAACTTCATGGCATTCGTTTGGAAAAGTATCGATCGGTTCGCGTCAGAGAAATTTTTATCAAGGATAATGGATAAAGTCAATCAAACGACATCACATCTGATATGTTAATTTAAAAATGTAGAACACCAATCGTCTCCGAATCGATGGACTTTCGATAAAAATCTTTTTTTCTTTTATACAAAATGCCAGAGCCGGCATCCACAGCTATAGGATCGATCGTGAGTGTCAGGCACGTCGTCGTCAGGCTGGGTTGTGCCTCTGGAGAGGGCAGTCAGGGAATATAGAAGGGATACCGACTCGACTCACACTCGAGACATTCTTGATACAACGAGAGGACTTACTTGAAAACTTATTTCTTCTATCCTTGAGTCTTTACTAAATAATTCTAATTAAATATTTCAAAAAACATAGTAAAGTTATTTATCAAGAATTAATAATTAACGCAATGCGTTAAACCGTTAGCCGCTTAACTCTTAACCGATCGTATCACTCATTTTCAAGCTGACATTTATCCATATCATATCATTCGCATGAAAGCATGCGGGATTGTCGGTCAATTTTTATGTATATGATTTTATGTCATACGATCGTACAACGATTCATATATGCAAAGTTCTTTCTGTAGTATTACTTCCACAACATGATCTGATAAGTTTTTTAGGACAATTACATTTGCATTGATTATATATCAAATGTAAAAAAAATTCTAATTTATGTTTTTTAATTATTTCGTTATGAATCAAGAATATAAAAAATTGAATAAAAATATATAGTAGTTTATTTAAAAAATATTTTATACAAACCTCATAAATATAAGCATGCAATGTACTTTAATAAAGGAAAGATCGATGAAGAGCGAGGGTGTAGTCTAGGTGTAAGCGTTCATCAGCCTCGATTTAACGGATTTACACCACAATCTTGTTTTTGCTCTTTTCTTTTTTGCTGGCAGACTGGTGGAACGTAATATGCATAGCTTCTAGTAAAGGTAGTCGCTGGAAATATTCTAGTATATAAAATATTCAAATATTATGAATAATATGTATCATTTAAATTATTTAAACACAATGGCTTTAATCTTCTATTTTTTTTCTGTGTTTATGATTTTAAATTTAAACATTTCTCTCTCAAAGTCAAATTTCAATCTGTACGAGTTATCTATATTTTTTTTTTCTTTTCGATCATTATAATGCTATAATTGAATTCATGATCAAGTTTCAAGAATCTATTAGATGAATGACTTGAAATTTCAAAGATGAGCATTGGCACAAGAAATTCGTGTCCAATTCTATCTAACGCATGCTTACGCATCAAAAACCATTGTTTGTCTTTTTTTGTACTAAGAAGACATTACTGACTATTTCTATATATATGTATATAACCATATCTGTCTCGTATTATTTATGTTTTATTTTCTTACGGAATGTTTTATTTTCTTACGAAGACCCTTTCATCCCTTGTCAAGAAAACCTATCATAAACTTTAATATCCTATTCTTTCATTGTGACTAATTTTGGTAAAATTATTGATGAAAGAAGTAATCAAATCATTATCTTCTTTTCGTAAAACAGACATATAAGATGTCTAAAAATATTCAATATTAAAAAAGTATTTTAAAAGAAAATTATCTTTATTTTATTATTATATTATATTTATTGTTTGTTTTTGAAATTTCATTTCAATTAACTAATAAATAATCTCTAATAAATATTATAAATTAAATAGGTCACAAATTTTAATTATAAACTTTATTAAATTAATTGTAAATCTCTATTACATAAAAAATTTTCATTATTTTATATAAAAAATTACTAAATTATATAAAATTACTAAATTATAAAATTATTAAATTATATAAAAAAGTCTGTTCATTTTTAATTTATAACGTTATTTTAGATTATTCAAAATCATTTCAAATCATTAATTTTTTTGTTACTAACGCTATTATACAGAAAGATCATTTATCTTGAAAATATAAAAGAGTCAGCACAATATACATCTTCTAATTCATTCTAAACAATTATCAAATCCTCACTCTCATAAATCAGTAACAATTACAAGGAACCATTTACGGTAACAAAGGCCATTTTCCTTGCGGATTATACCTTGTAGATTAACCTTGGATAGCCTCCGAAAAATGTCAATGTATGTATTTCCAGTGACGTTGCTCACTTTCTGCCGCTGACGTGTCGCTGTCCTAAAAGGCCAACGAATAGAAGCTCGGTGAAGCTTCACTAACAAGCTTTTGTCATTGAGCAATGAAGTGCACTGCCGTGTATGCAGCTCCCCCGTTTATTTTTCTTCCTTTTCTCTTCTTCTTCTTCTTCTTCTTCTTCATTCTCTCGTCTAATAGAAACTAGATAACCAGCGCCCGCCACATTGTGAAGATTTATCTCGTGGTATAATACCGCGGGTTCGGTTCATTGATTTATCCGACATCGACAGATTTAGCGCGTATCGTGAAAGTGATATTACGTACGAGCTGTACGACAGCACGTGGCGTCTCTTTTATTGAGAAGTTTATATAATCGAACCTTGATTGTCATCCTAGGGATAGATTTATTAATAAACAAATAAGCATCGACGTATTATCCATCTTTGTACTCCATTATAATGTAATTTTTATTGATTTTAGCATTGATTTTTATTGATTACCAATTAATCGATCAATGATATATTTTTCATTGGGAATGTTTTTAAAAAAAATTAGTGTATGATGTTTCTTCATTTCCGATCTAATATTTTTGAATTCTTATTTTTGAAAAAAAGCGATCCTGCAAATTAATTGAATGATACCGTCTGAAATTCGGATTAGATTATTAGATTAATATTAAAGCTATAATAGTTTTACATCTCAAATCAATTTTTTAAAAAAAATTTTTAAAAAATAATATCTAATTACTATTAAGGATGAAATATTAATAAAAATAAATATAATAATTTTTAAGAATTAAAAGTAATTTTTCTTTTCAACGATTATAGGAAAATAAAAAAATAAAATTAATTCACTTAATTTTTTAAAATATTGTTAAATAAATTCATCTAAATAACATGTAAACAGTAGTAGAATCGTGTTGAATTAACAGAACGTAATGGAAGTAACGGAGGGTGATCGTTGGCGGAAGTTTGGCACACTTACCAACATTACCTACGATCGACGAGACCTGTTCGGCTGTGCTAGTATGCGTGGGCGTGTCGGTTTCTTCCGAATGCAGAATCATAGATGCATAGCTTGATAGAATCGATTGATCGGTTCTATAACGGAAATACGCGAGACCGGAAGTGGCTCGTGCGCCAGGTTAAAATATTACACACCGTGACGGATTATTCCGGTCGGTAATTTAACCGACTATATGGTCTGGATACGAATTATTATAACATTGTACGAACAAGCATAGGCGTAAACTCCGGTTTGTATGAATCATTTTAAATAAAAGGAACAATGATATCAATGAAGTTCGTGATAATATAACTTTCGGATTTGTTTACACTTTCAAAATTGAATGATATAAAACGATATTATTGTAAAAAAAAAAAAATAAATTAAAAAAAAAGAATAAATTATACTACAAATTATATTAATAAAAAAATAAAGTATACATTGCCTTAATTTATGTTAATACAATTTAATAGTTTTCAATTGTTATTAAATCGTTGACTTAAAACTACAAAACAAATGAGTTAAAAGCAATGTTAGACAATATCTGAATGAAAATTTTTATCATTTAATCATGAAATTATAGATAATGGAATCAATCAGTAAACTCCAATTATACGAATTGTTTGTCTTTTATCATCGATTTCAAAATTTCCTATTTTTTCGCATATTGCATAAATGAAGGCAATGTATTAATCAATTCTACGAAAGATATGATAACCAGAATCACTAAAGGTGTTCTCGTTATCGTTGTTTTCGTTATGAATTTCTATGCGTCATCGGTCAAGAAGGAGTGTCGAATCAGTCCGGATGTGAAATGTTAGTGTGATCGAAGAGTGGCACGTGCATGAAAGCGCGGGCAATGCCTGGTTCACGCACATTGAATTGGGATTTATCCGCACAGCGTACAATCGATGCAGGTGCAGCCGCAAACGAGGACAAGAGCCTCGAATTGCGTAGAGACGAATACATACGTAATCAAGCGTTAAGCAATTTACATTTGTAAGGGCGTTTGACGTAATACAGTAAAACGATGAGACTCTCTTTTGAATGATTTCGAGTCTTAATTGGAAAATGTTTTAATCGTCTCCTGTATTATAAAGGAATTTATTCTGAATAGATTAATTTAAACTCTTACAAATGTAATTTCCTTTAGAAATTGTTTATTTATTATGAGTGTGAATCATAAATTTATCGATAAAGATATCGATATTGGATTAACTAGTAATTAATCAGTAACTGATTAAAAAATAAATGTTGATAAATTTTTTTACAATAAGCTTACACGTTATAAATAAACAATATTTACGAATTTCATTTATCATAATACATGAAGTTCTTTTATATAATAATTTAAAGAGAAAATATTTTAAAATAAATATATAATATTATAATAATATACAAAATAACAATGCTAATTTCATAGAAAATTATTCTAAATAAAAATTTGACTAATATCTCCGTGAAAAAAAACAATGATTTCTCTATTGAAAATCACATCATGAAATAGGAATTTATATGAATATAATTATTCGAAATCAAGTTTTATGTTAGATATTTAATTCATATTAAGCTATTTTTTAAATTAAATAAAATAAACATAGTTTTGTTTATTTCATGATCAGATGATTTTCCATGAGACAATCGTTCCATTTCTAAAGAAGAATACGAGGTTACTCGCGTGCAAATGCACGTGGATGCTGCGAAAAACGTCCATTCAATTAAATCAATTGTAGCTATGAGCACGAGCTCTAAAAGAAGGAAACTAGGGTCATTGATATGCGAACGGAGTAAAGACCTTGGCGATCTCACGACTGATTCGTTCCTAATTGCGAATCCTAATCACGTGTTATGTGATCGTGATCGCTAAATTTTTATTTTTTTTTCCTCAGAAATAATTCTATCCTTTTTATATATTTATTATTTTTCATTTCATTTTATTGATTCTTTTCTTCGTTTAAAATGCAAGGATAAAGAAATTGGAAAAATCTGTATCGAGTTAAAAATAATCGATGCAGTCGCTGTCAATCAATGACGATAACTTATCTAAAGTTTAATCTTAACTTTGTTCGTTTACATTACGTTAATGAATTTATTACAACCTTGTAACTCACCAGTTAAAAAATTGGAACGATAACTATTGTTTTTACAACTATAAAGAGGAAGTGTATAATGAGGATGTGTCATTCATAAAGTCAAAGCCTTTCACTATTATAATTTTTATCAATGCAAATGTTGTCCATTTTTAAATCCCGTTTTATCACAGTAGCTTAAAATGTACACGAATAACAATAAATATTTTTTATCTATTTATCAAAATAAAAACAAAAAAAAAGATAAAGAAATATGAATTTCAAAAATCAAATTTCAAAAATTATTTAAAAGATCTTTGATCTAAAAATATCTTTTCCTTTTTTTATAGGCTGAGTCCGAAGTAGCCGCTCTGAATCGTCGTATCCAATTGTTGGAGGAAGATCTCGAGAGATCGGAGGAACGCCTTGCAACGGCCACTGCTAAATTGGCAGAGGCGTCGCAAGCAGCGGATGAGAGCGAACGGTAAACGAATTCCACATTTCTATAGTTTCTCCGCAATAATACTTGGAGTATGTACGACCACGTAAATCTTATAAATATCCGTTCGTTGACGTATCTTTTTTGCTACGCACATCGATGGATATTTATAAAAAGATTTATAAAAAGAAATTGTTCAGTACAGTGACTATGTAACTCAATGGACAGATAATAACAATCTCCTTCCTCAATTGATTCATAAGTAAAAGTTCGATTAATATTTTTTTCGATATTTATGAGATTGGTGTTGAATTTGTTAATGAAACTTGAAAGTTATAGTCTTATTAGAAAGTATATGTAATGGGTTATTATTGTCCATCCTCTATGAGATTATGAGACTTTAACGTGATGGCTGAAAATTTTTAATTCTTCATAATATCTATTATTTTATTCTTAATACATCTTATAAATATTAGAATAACATATAATTCCTGAATGTGAAAATTAAATTAAAATAAATATATTATAGCTAACACGTTGAATTTTCTATTGAAATTATTGTAAAGGAAATTGAATTTGATCTATAAAATATTATTAATTTTGTTGTGAGAAAATTTCAATTAAAATAATTTTTTAGAATTCAATAAAATAATGTTTAATTATTTAGAATAATTAAATTATATCTCTTGTTTAAAAATGAAAATAATTTTTAAATTTTTGCTCAAATAAGTAAATTCTAATTTTAACCAAATTATTATTACAATAATTTCAAAAATAAATGTCAATCATTTCAAATGAAATATGAAAAATGTCGTACATTACTCCAAAAGGAAACCAAATCTGTACGTTTAAAGAAATCGAAACGAAAGAGCCGACAATATATTCTCGAATGATCTTATGTTCTCTATCTATCTATAAATAATCGCACAATACTGTATTGTAATGTTTCGCGGTTAATACCACGCCGAATATAGATCTTGAAATAGGTTATATTTATATGATAATGGAACCCGCACCCAGACATGAATTACACACTACATATCCAAGGTTGCTTGCGAACTAGCAATTACACTGATTTTATGAACCGTGCATTTTCATTAGCTCGCGTAAAGTGGTTAATTATCGATAGACCTGTTTCAGAATATGATGCAATTACATATTACGCGAGCATTAAATTTAATTAACACTTGATCATTTGATTATAGAAATGTGGAACACTTTATTTTTCTCACATTTATACATTTCAATTCAATCTGATCGAGAAACGTCAACATGCTTTTTCGTTTTCGAATTTCGATCGACGTACACGATATTATTTATCGGTAGGATTAAACTTTTCGACGTTGAAAGAACTTCGAAATTATTTTTCCATTACAAGTTTTCATACTTATTGATCGATTCAAATCCTGATTATTGTTAAAATAAAAATTATTGATTAAATCATGATTTTGAAGCTTCAGAAAAGCAGATTCATAATTGATTTGACACGTATATGAAATAGTGTAGACATTGATAACACATGATTTTCTTAATTCCTTATCCCGGGAAAAGAAGTTGATAATCATCGAGAGATTTGCAAATTTTATCGTCAAGAACGATATTTTATCATCGCTTTTGCGATTCGAAATAATAAAAATTCTTTACGCGAGTTCTTTATCTGAAGAACGATGTGGATAAAATTCTTTTATTGGAAATAATATTTTCAAAAAATAACGTTTATTTATAATTTTTAGAAATATCTATATCTACAGATAATAAATGCTTGAAAAATTATATCATAGCTTAAATAAAAAAATGATTTTTAATTTTATATTTAAATGCCTATACATGTTGAAAAATTGGAAGATAGTTTTTTCGCGACCGCAAAAAAGAAATTTTCATATGTCGATGATTTTTCTTTCAACGGCGACCAAACCGGTGCTAAAAGTCGAATGATAATCGATCGCTAGGATACGCAAGGCACTCGAAAACCGTACCAATATGGAAGATGACCGGGTATCCCTGCTGGAGCAGCAGCTAGCACAGGCTAAACTGATCGCCGAGGAGGCGGATAAAAAATACGAGGAGGTGGGTCACGTACAGCGAACAAAAAAAAACAATATTTTTACAGCAATCGTTTGGAAGCGAATTCTGTATTCATTCTGACGAACTGAGATTCACTTTATAAATTTTAAATCGATTTCGAAAATTTCAATAAAATTTATTGAAATTCATTTGTATTTTCGTAACAAAAATCAAATTTAAATTTTGAAACTTTGGCCAATTTTTCTTTTCCAATATTCTTTTAATAAGATTTTCAATTAAATATTTTAAGAGAAAGTTTGGATTAAAATTGATAGGAAGAATTATGTATATTAATTTAGTTCATTGAATTTAAAATTAATCACAGGACAGAAAATAACTTGTTCAACAGGTTTTCGTTGCAAAATGTCGAAATATTTCATAAGAATTACGAAATAAAATTATATCACGCTTTTCGAGGGAATGAAAGTTTTCTAAAAGACGAAGGTTCGTCAAAATAAATCATTGAATTCGCTCCTACAGGTAAATCTTTTCAGGTAGTAACTCGAGCAGGTAGCTGGAGAGCAGTGCCGTAACCAGTCAACACGAAACCCCATATCTCTAAACGAGACAACGATCGATAATTTAAAAAAAATTTTTCCTTCCAGCGATATTTCCATTCGTAATGTATGTTAATCCCGATTCTTTGTGATAATTATTAAAGAGCCCGCAAGATTCTCGAGAATCGCAGCTTGGCCGATGAAGAGCGCATGGATGCCCTAGAAAATCAGCTGAAGGAGGCCAGGTTCCTTGCTGAAGAAGCTGACAAGAAATACGATGAGGTTCGCGAGCCCACGACTGACAAGCGTGATGGCTTCAGTGACAATAATCATGATAAAAATAATGATGATAATAATAATGATGATGATGATGATGGTTCCTAGTTAATAGTCGAGATAATAGTGCCTAACCCCATAACTTTCTGTCTTCTCTTTGTGTGTTCGAAATCACCGTGGCTGTAAAATACGAAAAAAGAATCTATTCAAACGTATTAATCGAGTATAAAGTAAACGCGATATTCGTCCTCGATAATTTAATCTAATCGACATACGTATTTCGATTTTTCCTTGAATCGTTCGAATATATTGTTTCCAGAAAAATATTTCGATCAGAATAAAATTTTATCGATAGTAAAATTCGTAATAAACTACGAAGCAAAACGGGGTTGGATGTCTTAATTTGCTGAAAGTGATTTAACGTAAACAAAAAAAAAAAAAAAAAAAAAGAAAAAAAGAAAAAAAGAAAGTAAAGAACGAAAGAAGGAATAAATGATTATTGATCGTCTGTGATTTTGTCAAGTAAGTGAAATACGATCAATCGTATAAGTGCAGTGTTTGAATAAAATAATTTTTTCGGGAATAATAAAAAAAAGATAAAAAGAATAAGATGAATAGTGATACATGTATATGAATAATATCAGTGTCAGGTGTTTTGAACGCGACTTAATGTTAAAACCGCTGTATATCTGTGATTTCCAAGTGTTTGTTGGAACCAAAAGAAAAAAAGGGAAAGAACGAAAAAAAAAAAAAAAGTTTCAAGTGCCAGTTTCCTAAATAAAAGATAAATGAATAAAAATTTAATTTGCATATAAAAGATCATCGTCTCTCGATTGTATACGGAAAATTTGAAGAATATCGATAGATCCGCGGCGTTCGATTCGTTTAATCCGGAAACTGGTTCCGCAAAATATGATTGACGCGTTCTGTGTTGTGATACGAATAAGACCATATGTTTCTCGGTCTCCTACGCGATTAAAATGGTGCTGCTTTTGTCCAAAGACTCCCCATTTTCGTTTTTTTGTGGAATTCGGAACGTAGCTCAGAAATATCCCAATTGCAAAATCCATCTGTTATGGTAGGTGTTACGTGACGACGTCGAAGTTACAAAGATTATTAAATATTTTAATATTTATATAATTTATTTTATATAATTTTCTTTTTCTTTTTTTCTTAGATAAGTGTCTCTATTGTATTATAATATTTTACATATATTTTTTACGGAATTTTGAATAAATTTTCACGCTGCAAGAGTTGGTCTTACATAATAAAATTATAATAATCCATGAAACGAAATTTTCTAATACGGTTGAAAAAAACAGTTCGATAAGCACAAACGAACCATGAATATTGTATAATACACTTGCTAGTATTAGACAACCAAAAAGAAAGTTCCATTACAACGCCAAATCCATTGAATTTATTTCATGATGTATTCAAATGGAAAGAATCTTGCACAACGAATAATGGATAGTTTTTACGAAATCCATATCGTCGATAGTTCTTCAGCACAAATTTATTTAAATTAAAACGCATCGTTGTAACTTCAACGCGTCGATATCCTCTCCCAATAACAAAATCACATTCATTATTTTTTTTAAAATGTCGTTGGATTAATAAGTATCAAAACTAATCAAGTTTTGCAATATTGGTTTCTTAATGTTTGCAGTGATATTTTATCGATTACAGTGGAATCTCAAACGCTTGCCCCTTCTAACTGCATAACAATTATTGCAGACGGAGTGACAGAGGCGAATTCTAACCGACGATTTTTATTTATTTTTTATTTTAATAATAATTGCTTATCATTGATTGGCCCTCTGTCTCTAGGATTTGCGAATGTTACGTAAACTTTCGTTAAATGGCAAATTTAATATGATTACGTCATACTGATAACGCATGATTGGCTCAAAATAAATTTCCTTCGAGATTTCGCGAATTCTAATCCTTATTTCAATATTTCAATTAGATATAGTCATTTTAGTTCTATTTAACGATTATTTCACATCAGATATAATTGTCTTGGTTAGTTCTAGAAAATTTTCGCAATATTTTTTTAAAATTTTATATATTAATGCGAAGAAATTTGTAGAAAAATGGTATTATTATATATATTGTAGTAAATTTATCGTAGAAATTGAATTTTGAAATTTTTGAATACTTATAGTAATATATCTTAATTCTATTACGATCATTAAATTTACGTTCACTTTTAATCTTCTTTAAAAAAACAAAAGAACTTCAAAAATCTATTATCGAAAACCGATTCAAAGAATATGGAAAGAATTTATTTTTCAAATCAAAAATTCTCATATCTGTACCATTTTTCTTCGAGATTCTCTATGTAAAAAAAAACAAGGATCCACAGAGAAACGATCGAACGATTCACGTGGATAAACACTTCTTCGAGAGTTTGCGTCACATTCGCAAAGTTGCATGTGTGAAACGAAAGGTCGTCGGTGGACGAACGAAAGGGACATTCCATCGAGCTATGAACAGTTTTATTCCATCGTATTCATGTAAATTCTCCTTCGTTTTCCACCGTGACCTCGCTGTCGCCGCGTTGTACGAGTATTTCCATTCATTCGTGCCAATCTCTCTAAGAACGAAGCACAGAAATCTCTTCTCCCGCTTCGTTTCTTATCTATTCGCTTCTCTCCTCTTTGCGAGATGCGTTCTACATCTGGAAGAGGGTATCCCGATAAAGATTACCCGAACGTGTTCCAACCGGATCGAGACATGAATACGATATTATCTAGAATTTTGTTTTAAATTCAAAACCTCTTTGTGCCGTCGCGACTTCGTGCACGTTGTCGCAAAGTTAAACGTATTTTAAATTATTCGTTTCTCGCCGAGCGGACGAATGAAATGGTTCGAGGCACGTTTCACGGTTAGTGTTTCACTGGTTCAATATTTGCGATTCCATCACGAATGGGATTCGCAAGAACGCGGAATACTATTAACCCCTTAACCAAGTGAGACGAGTTGGCGAGCTGCTGCTGAAATATTTGCAAACGAATAGGAAGACGATTAAGAGATTCCATCTTTTAACTCGATTCGTTCCAATTGGTCAAGGATAGACGATTGGCATTCCGCGAGAAGACACCGAAAAAACGTATAGAACTGTGCCAAAATCGAAAATAAAGTTGAAAACGGAATATCTTGTTTGATGGTGGAACGAGGAAAAAAGTTTGGATCGGAATTGGTTTCATAATGCAAATGGAAATAATCTTTTTAGATCAGAAAACTCGATATATTCCTAAATTAATATAATTGAAAGCTATACGCTTATATACTCATATTTTTATACAATTCAATTTTATGTCTATTGTTTATTATTATATTGTTACCAACCAATATATTTAGACAATTGTTGCATTTAGTATAATTATCTTTAAAGCAGCAGCTAATATTAATTATAAATAATTAATGAAACGATTACACAGTTTTTTAAATACAAAATTCTTCGAATAATATTATATAAAAAATTCCATATCAATTTCAATTCAAAAAAAAAACTGCATACTATCCATTAGTTTCATTTAGTGTAACTTTAATCAAACTTTTTATATTCCATTAAAGCTTAGAAATCAATCAAGCAATACCGATCGATTAACCATCAAACAATTCCACTCGTCCGGATCGCGTTTATCTTTAGAAATTCGCCACGTTCAAGGGTAATGTTGCAAGAAAACCAGACTTAACCGAATCGATCGAACGCAAGTTAGACACAAAAGGAGCTGGAACTCTTCCAGTTCGTAGACCGACATCGAGCCGGTCCGGAATCGCGTTGATCTCGACTGTGAGGCTGTGATGGTAGTAAAAGATCGAGACGCGAGATCGTCGATCTTGGCCCAGATGCCGGCTTCGAGACACGCGAGACACGGATTGGCGAAACGAAAAGAGTTAGAGAGAAAGAGAAAGAACCCTAAGGTGTTGCAGAAGAGAGAAAAAGACAAAAAGGGAACATAAGGAAAAAACCGTGTGTATGTGTCGTTTATACAGGTCGCCCGTAAATTGGCCATGGTTGAGGCCGATCTAGAACGTGCCGAGGAACGTGCCGAAGCTGGAGAGTCGTAAGCATCTGTTTTTCAAAGAAAAAAATCGAATACTCACACCCTTTTTTTGCATTAACATTGCCTTTTTTTCAAGCGTGCGTCAACGATCGCCAATTTGTTGTATCCTCTTATTTTTAGTTGTGTTTTATCACGTGTACGTACCCATAGGGTTGTGCACTTTACTATATGTATACACGCAAAGACATTGTTCATACGTGTTTATGATGATTAATGATATGTAATCACGCGTGAAAGTGTCTAACACATGTTAACTGGTTTGTTCGTTTGATTGTTGTCTCTTGATTTTTTTTTTATTAGGAAGAGTTTTGAAGAGTTTTATCGATTGGAGGAAATTACAAGTTGATTCGTAATCAATTGCTATTAGCGTCACGGATCGATCATACATTTTGATCGAAATGTGTTGCTTTTAAAAGAGAAATCTCAGTATTCTAATAAAGATGAAAGAGGAGAATTTATAGAATTTAAAAAATATAATAATTTTTGATATTTATATTTAAGATTTCTCTTTGAATTGATAAATCTAAGAGAATGGAAACCAACAATTTAATGTGCAAATGTCATTATCTACTTATACTTTGTACGATTTAATCGAATTCCATTCTCTCGGATAAAAAATTTTTTTTAAGAAAGTTTGAGCAAGATTTAAGTCACGATCAAGTAGCCTGGTGGACCAATGGAAAAGAGGAGGAGACTGGATAATTTGCATGCGTTTACGATATACTTTTTGTTTTCTTGTATTTTACTTGAATTTTCTTTCTATTTTTTTTTTGTTCGTCTCTTTTTCTTTTCTTTTTTTTTTATTTTTTTTTAATCCTTATCATCCTTGCTTTCTCGCATGACACGTGTGGCTGTTGATCACAGGTCGCCAGAAAACTAGTCATGATGGAACAAGATCTCGAGCGCGCCGAGGAGAAGGCGGAACTTTCAGAAGGGTAAGTAGTTTGTGCATGTGTTATTTGTTCACTTTTTTTTTTATTTCTTTCCTTTAACTTAAGCCAATAAAAGCTTGTTTAATAAGGACGAATGTGCTGGTCGATAAGAAATCAATATAAAATTATCATATAAAGTATTTCAAATTATTTTAATGAAAAATGAATAATTCCATCCAAAAATATTTCGCGTACTTCGATACTATGAATGATGATTCTATGAAAATTCTTTATTTTAAAATAAAATTTAAATTTGAAGTCGTTATAACACTTTAAAATTCAAAGAGAAATTTGTAAATTAATTTATCGAAGTATTTCTTTCTTCTGTCATTTTCTTTAAAATATTGGTATCCAGAAAAGAATAGAATTTTGTCTTTCAAACAATTTTAAAATTACCTGTATCGTACAATAATATTCGAACAATGACCTGCCATTCGTTCACGCTGAAGAAACACGTTCTCAGGTAGGAATCTAATATAAACCTGGATTTGTAGTAAATGGTTCGTTCATTTTGCAGGAAGATCGTTGAGCTCGAGGAAGAATTACGCGTAGTTGGCAACAATCTGAAATCCCTTGAGGTCTCCGAAGAGAAGGTAAGTACCGCTAGAAACGAGTCACGACAAATATCTACGAAATATCGAATATATATATCTATTTCACTTTCTCCTTCTTTCAAAAATTCTTTCCACGTTCGAACTGCGATATATATTATATTTTCTACATTTTAATCGATATGTCTCATAATCTTTCATGTACTCATACAAGTATTTGGATATTTCTTTTTATACCGAGAAAATTAATTTTATATTACAAATAAAAAAAGATCGTTTTATTATTTATTATTACTAATAAATTTTTAAATAATTGTTACTTTTAGTTTGTCATTAATTTATATATTTTAATTACTACAATATCCAAATGCTTATAGCGCGTTATTTAAATTTAAATGTTTCGAATTAAATGACTTTAAATTCGCTTTTCCCAAAATAGATGTTATATAAAATTTATTTATTATTCAAATAATCGAAAAATGTTATGTCTATTAACACTTGAATCATTTCTATCGCGCAGCAAAACCTCTGCTCCTTGGGAAAAATTACATCCTGTGAAAATTATTAGGGAACAAAGAAATCAGCGGAAAAACATATTCTCCGTGTAAAAGAAATATCACGCGATTTCACAGTAAATGAATAAATTCATTGTTTCGAGGTGCAGAGGTTTAATATCGTTTCAAAGAATTCAAAAGATAAAAGATAAAATATAATGCGATAAAAATGCAAGAAAAAAAAAAAGAAAACGTAATCGCGCGTCGATGGATCAAAAAATAAATTTCCATATTGAGATGCATAATGTTCACGTTACTGTATCATAGGCCAACCAGCGTGAAGAGGAGTACAAGAACCAAATTAAGACTCTTACCTCTCGCCTAAAGGAGGTACAAATCCTTTTTGAGAGTATTTTGCATCTAATTATTTTCTTTTTTTTTTACCAAAGTGTGATTTGTCGTCGCGAGTTTTACTAAATCATTAACTCATTCACGCTCATCCCTCTTTTTTCTCCATTTATGCTACTTTCCAATCTTAACCACCATTTTCTATTTTTTTTATTTTTTACTTACTCTTATTTTATTTTTCTTTTTTCATTTTTTTTACTTTTTTTTTATTTTTTTATTTTTTTTTAATTTTGTAAAGCTAACATGAAGTCGTTTTTTTCTCTTTTTTTGCGCTTGACTAAAAATAGGCGACACAGAGAGAGGAGACTTTCGTGGGCCAGGTGAAGATATTGGATAGTCAATTGAAAGAGGTAAGTAAGACTCAAACCGAAGAAATGGGAAGATTCTTGAGGATTCTCGAGACGCAGGAGTTTAAACATCGCGAATTTTTGTAAATAGAGAAATTTAAAATCATATCGATCTATATTCTTATCTCATTTTCTTTTATCGAATTAGATAATTTTTAATTTCTTTTACATTGTATATATTAAATCCCTTTATTGCTATTTCTCTTTTGATTAGATGCACATTCCTCTTTTATTTTGTACACAACATTCTGCGCTTTACGAGTTCAGTTTATTTTTCGAAATTTTACATATTACGCATAAGTACGAACGAAACAATCAATTATAAATATCAATAATCAATTCTTCCCGATAAGCAACAAATGGTCGAATTTGTATCGAGGTATGAATGTTTTCGATGTTCAGCCATTACTAAAAATAAAAAAAAGAATATTATTATAATTAATAACGTGTGCAGTTGACTAACAGTTTCTTTTTTTGCTAAATTTTTATTGAAATTAAGAAAATTTGAGCATGGAGTGAAATTTTACTAATAAAAACAAAATGACATTATCACGAATCCGTCGATTTTAAAAAAAACGTATAAAGAAAAATAAATAAATTTATCTCACTATATATTGTATTTTTCAATATATTGTATCTATTAATCGTGCTATTTGATAAATTTAATGCTACGATATATATGCGTAATACGTTTCTTTATAAATTATTGCTAATAACGCATGCACGGAAGTATAGTTTTGTAGATAGACACGGAGAAATTTTAAAATCGACGACAAATCACGTGAAAGTGACATAACGCGAATAACTAATCCGTTTTTCTTATTATCACAGGCTGAGGCTCGTGCCGAGTTCGCGGAAAGATCGGTGCAGAAATTGCAGAAGGAGGTCGACAGGCTCGAAGGTGCGTATTCATCAGGCATTTATATTTTCGTTTCGCGTGATTATGGTCAATTTTTCGTTCTCGAGACTTTTACTTTCTCGAACGGCCCATTATATTCTTTCATCTCTACAAATAGCGTATGGAGAATTATTTTATTTTCCTGATACTTTAGTTGTATTACTTTCTAGCGTTAGAGATTACATTCTTTGTTAGAATAAGAGAGAGAGAACTACGAATCGGATACGTTAATAGTCGAAGGGAGCAGTGTAAGATAGTATAAATTATAGTCTTAATTATACTCGTGATAACTTGTTAGGGATTTATTAACCAATAACATTGCTTATTTCCAAATTGACTAAATATCCCAGTTTGTTTGAGTGCATTCAATAATTAATAGAAATGCAAACGACAGTCATTTGGAGTTTATGGATAGGAGAATTTAATAAAATATGATTTTATTTAATGAAAATCCCCGTTTTAAATATAATAATATTACTAAAAAAACAATAAAAAAAATAATTAAAAAAAGAAATATTTCTTTTTATAATCATTTTTCTATGATTATATTTGTGACTTGTTTTTTTAATTATATGTTATACATATATAATAATATATTGAAAAATTTTGATTATAATTATAAAGAATTTTATTAATGGATATACTTCATCTAATAAATCAAACGATCGATTTTTCTCCATCTACGAAATAATTATGCCTGTCGTATGCTCTAAAAAATAAGAAAGATATTATCACGTGTTTGCCGATTTTAATACTAACGTCGACGATGATGACGATCTAAAATAACAATGACGTAATATGGTCGTGTTTCGTCGTCTCGTGTGAAGTATGCATTTGCTCAATGATCGACATGTTTCCTTTCTAACCCTTTACAACCCCTTGAGCGTATTTCCATGATCGAGGAAATCGCTTCGCGTCCACTTTGTGTCTTAGTGTGCGTGTGCAGCCATCCTCTAACCGGTGATCTTTCCAGACGACCTTGCCGCCGAGAGAGAGAAAAACAAATTGCTGCAGGAGGAGATGGAGGCCACCCTGCATGACATCCAGAACATGTAGATCATGTCTCGCGGCTGATAGAAAGACGAGAGAGAGAAAGAGAGAGAGAGAAAAAATAGATATAGTAACAAAAAAAAAAGAAACAAAACAGAAACGTTCAAACAAAAGCATACGCTGATACTAGGAATATACGATTCCTTTGAAATTAAAGGAACAAACAGAAAAGTAAATAAATAAAGTAAAAACGCATGGAACACGTATTCGAAAGGGATGAGGGAATCGGAGAATGAAATGAATGAAATCGAATTAAAGGTGGAAAGTTAAAAAAAAAAAAAAAAAAACAAGAGAAGGGGGAAATATGATAAAGGAAAAATATCGTTGAAAAAGTAAAGTACACGCTGTGCGATGTGAGCGCTTTTGTGTGTGGTGCACACTATCAACGAAACGATAAAAAAAAGAAGAATGAACAAAAAAAAAAAGAAAAAAAGTCTCATACAGTCTCTTTTAGGCTAGATTCACACATCTACCATTGTAAACGCCCATCTCAAACAAGCGCCCCGGTTATGCAATTCTTTTTTCGTGTGTGTATGTGTGTGATGCATGTGTGTTATATGCTGCTGTTGCTGTCGCTATTGTTGCGTGTATGTGTGTTTTGCGTGCGCGAGAAATCGAGGGAAACCAGACGACATATAGGTAGAAAAAAGAAGAAACAATGGATATTCCAGTATAAAGTGTAAAGTATAAAAAAGAGATAGAGCGTGCGGTTTGTCAAAGGGATTTGAAGTTATTTCCCTTTTTTAATCCGTTCCTTTTCTTTTCTTTTCTTTTTTTTTTTGAAGTTTTTTGTCCGTTTGTTGTCCGTTTGTTGTCCAAACGACTGTTTTTTTTTTTTTTTTTCTTTTAACGCTACGTTTTAGTTTCAATCGATTTGGTCATTAACAAATGCTAATGATTTCTAATGCGATCCCTAAAACCGTTTCAACAAACGACAAATATTGTAAAGAAAGATCGTGAATAAAAGAATAGGAGACAAAGAATAATTAAAAACGGTAATCGATCAAAGTCTAATGGAATACATCGAGGAAGAATTTTCAATTCAATTCAATCTGCCAAGTATTTTCTGCTAGTTACGTTCTGCCTATCGCGTATCATGGTCTCGGGGAAAATTCGATCTTCTGCGGTTCACATCCGGTTCAATTCGGATCACAACTGATCCCTGATATTTATATCATTCTATATCTTGAATTAATATGTTTTGTCGAAAACATAATTCTTTTACATCATAGTTATTATTATTATTATTTTTAATGAAAATAAATTAATTAACTCTTTATTAGCAAAATTAAGAAGTGAGATTTGTAATAAAATAATACAAATCAAAAGAATACAAATCTGCACTAAAATTAATGAAATACTTAATATCTGAGAATATCTTAGATGTTAAAATTCAATGATAATCATTATTAAAGATTCCAATATAAATATATTAGAACATTCTCATAAGGAATGTTTGACAGATTTGACTAAATAAGCAAATTCTTCCTCAACGTAGAACCACGTTGTCGATAAGAAAAAGATGAACAGAAAAAAATTGTTCGTCACTTTTCGTCATTTACATTCCATATTGCCTATGGTTCAGCGTGAAAAAAAATATTCTTGGTCTTCTTCCATGCTCGTTCGCGCATTGGTGATACAAAGATTTAAAGGCTTTTAAGAGACGCTCACTGCCAGCCAAATGATTCCTTTTGAGGAATAAATTCGATATTAAACTTGTGTTCGCGCGTGATTCATTCAAAAAAAGACCATTATTATTGTAATTAGTTAAAATTTAGAATTTAGCGAGACAAGTGTTGTAGAAATGAGACCTATAGAAATTTTTTGTATTTTTGTATTTTATACTCGTAGAATTTTTAGCGTATACGATAAATAGATAACTTCAAAACTCAATAAGATCCAATAAAAAGAAGGAGATTCTTTGCGAATAATTAACAAGCGTAAAATAAAAATCTTCACTTTAAAGAAATTTATTCTACGTCTTGTAGAATTTTATTTTTTTCCAAAGCATCGCCTTCTTTTATTCTTTTTATCACGTGTTCCCAAGCACGCGATTAAAAATATGAAGAGATCATTCAGGGAAATGATCTCGATTATGAGATTCGATTCATACAAATTATAGATATTGTAATCTCGAAATCTTCCTCGTCGCAAAAGGGGTGTATCTTGCAATTTTATGCAACAATTATTTGCAAGAAACGGATAAACGAGAGATACGTTCGAAAATCATGTGTTCTACTTCACGCTGAACCATTCGATATTTACCGATCGTGCCTGGATTAATTTGTTATATCAACGGTTATTGTCTGGCCACTCGCAAATTTCGATTCATTGAATTAAAAAAGAAAAAAAAAGAAGGGAAAAAAAGAAAAAGAAAGGGAAAATGGAATGAAAAAATTTCTATTTCGCATACTTCACGTTGCAATCGTTCATCTTTGCTGTTAATAAATACCATTGCTACATCCGTATTACGTTTTTACCCCTAATACAATATATATTATCGTGATACCACGATAAATTTTTGAGGATCATGAAGAATACTGCCTATCTACGTATTTAATTCCTTTGGTTATTCTCGTTGTAGTTTTTCCGTGACGAGATCTCTTTGGATGTTTTTTTTTTTTTTTTTTTTTTTTTTTTTTTTTTTTTTTTTTTTTTTTTTAATGAATCTTGAAAGTTTCAACTTTGCAGAAACATTCGGAGAACTTTCTGTGTGCAATAGTTATAGATTTTGTATAGCTTGATCAAAGTACCACCTGTACTGAGATATCGTTTTATGAAATTTTTGTATATCCACTTTGATTTGTTGGAATATTTTAAGTTCGAATAACTTTTATTTAGATGTTAAAATTTCGAGAAAACGTCCGAAGAGACTAATAATGCGTTTTGCGACACGAAAACGTCACGAGTATTTCATAGAGAAAATATTAGAGAGTGTGTGAGAAACAGAGCAAGCATGATGAATGAAGAAACGAAGAAAGCACAATAATTACAATTCCACGTGTCCTACCGTTAACGATAATAAAATTTTTTTTGTTATTCCCGTTTTTTTTCGAGAAAATGCCAACAGAGTGAAAGGACAAGAAAGATAGAGGATGAATGAATGAATGAGAGTGAGAGAGAAGTAAAAATGCATAAAAAAGGAAACGCAGATACTTCAGTTCATACTTGAGAGTTTTAGTTTATTAATTTACTTAATATTAATAAAAAAAACGAATGGAATGATAATAACACTAATATCATTGTAATAATGATTATTATATATATATATTGCTATTATTATAAAACTGTTTGTAATATATATTTTAATTTTGAAAAAACAGCGTGTTGTTTGTTTTTGTGTACGTTTGTCTGACTGTATTTCCTTTTTTTTTTTCTTCGATCTTTTTCATTCTCCGTTTTATCCCTGATTTCTTAACAAAAAACAAATACTGACCATCCTGTGTGTACAACGCGATATAACACACAATGCTGCCCATTGTGTTAGCTGTGCATAATTGTTGCATGCCACACATACAAAGGAAAGTCGATCTACCAATGGTATGTATCCAAATAATTCTGGTGAGTAAACTTGTTTTTATCTTTTTTGCTATGACTTGTTCTTTATCCAGCATGATCCATCCTTTTTCTAATTTTTAGTCTATCGATTATTTATATAGAAGATATCTTAAATGATATACGTATAATAAACCGTCTAAAGCAATATCTAAAGTAGATAAATGAAATTTCTTTTCAAATTACAATCGTATGATTCAGAGATAATACGTAACTTTATTTTTATCTGGGCCATCAAAAGTGACTTTAAGAAACAATTTTTATAACACCGTATATTAGTCCCACCTTTGGATCTGTGCGATTTTAAGATATTAAGTTTCTTGTATTTTTTAAATAATTTATTCTCTTAGAATATTCTGAAATTTTAGAGATAATCTTTCTTATTATAATTTTAAAAAGATAGAATTACGTTTTTTATAATTTCATAGTTCAACTTTAGCAATATATTTCATTCATTACATCAACATCATAAATTGTAACTTAAACTGCATACATTTGATATTCTCAAATACTCTCATTCATCTCTACTAAACATTCATCGAGAACATTTAATCTACTCCAAACCCTGCTTCCTGTCCAATGCCAACCAACGTTTCACAGCTCTTTAACGATTTAATAGTTTAACACTTAGTTTCTTAGAGCTTAGATTTCCTCGAATATAACTATTATCAGGGCAGATATCGAGAAAAATGCGAATTCGAACGTTTTTCGAAATAACATTGCGAATGCTTGCAGATGAAATGGTAACTGAGAAGGAGAAATACAAGGAGATCGGAGATGGATTGGATCAAGCGTTCCAAGAACTCTATGGCGTCTAACGAGCCACTAACCAACCCCTCTAACGCTTCGACCAAACAAATAAAAATATATATACCATCAAATATCATAAATCACCTTTCTCACAATCTCGCTTGCTCTTAACATGTAATCCGTAAGTTACTTCTCGAGCTTTTTAACCAGCTGAACTAACGATCATCGAACTTCTAATTTATAATTTTCATTTTTTCATAAATTTTCATTTTTTCGCGAGAATGTCTACAATATCTGAAACAATAGGAACATTTGAAATAAATATCATTTAAGGCCGCATTTTGCGAATCCTGAACATCATTTTTTTATTTTAACTCTTTGCTTAATTGTATTTTTATTATTTTATTATTAGCGAAAGATTTTTGTTTGATAATTATTTAACAATCGATAATAGAGAATCAAGCAGAGTTGAAAATTAAATATTCTTTTGTTCTCGAAAATTATTTTCAATCTTCGTAAGGACGATATTTTTCAATTATATATATATATAATGACGGTGGAGGGATTTTTATTTTTTAGGATTCAAATTATCCTCTATATCTGTATTAATTATTAAATCGTTTATTAACGAAAACATTTTTCTTTCAGACGAGCTCGTACACGAGAAGGAAAAGTACAAATACATCTGCGACGATCTGGACCTCACCTTTACCGAGTTGATCGAGAAGAATTAATTAATAATCAGTTCTCTTATATGTTCATCAACTATGTCCAAATAATTGGCCGGGCTTGTGCATCTACAAACACGAGCGGATACGTTATCATGGTCATTTCGTGAAATCAGCCGATTCGCTTATATTATTATTATCATTATTATTATTACTATTATTATTATTATTATTATTATTATTATTATATCCAAATCTGTATTGTTGCACCTAAAACATATACGTTCCGCGTTCCTTCGCGTTCGATTCCCTTTTTTTGGCTTCCTTTTTTATTTAATTCGATTAATGACTTTATTCTCAGGTTTATATTTATCCCTTATATTTTTTTTCTATTTTTTCTGTTTTTCTTTTTTGTAAATCGCTCGACGATCCTATATTCTAGATAAAAATTAGTCGAATCACTCGTTTATAACGATTCCATTGCGATTCCGCGATAAAACGTATTCGGTAAGTACTCATTTTCGATGACACGCGATTTTCTTTATTCGCTGCGAAACGTTGACATCGATTCTTGTAACCAGGCAAACGGGCAAATAAAATTTTAGCTTTAAAGCCACTGTCTTTTTTCATTGTCAACTATTATACTATTATAAATTATGTTCTAAGAACACTAACTATGAGTTTCAATAAAGATATATAAATTACATGTACTTATTATTTGAACCTTTTATATTAAATTCTATTTTTTTTAAATTTTCATTCGTTAAATATACTAATCTATTAACCAATTTAAAAATAATTCTAATTTAATATTCAATCTAAAACCATCCGAAATTGATCTTAGTTTTTAAGATTGTAGTTTTTAATTGTAGTTTTTACCACTGTTACGTAATGATAAGTAAGTTAGTATAATTCATTTATAAGTTATCCCTGAAGAAAATATGATAAACCTACTATTCCCACGTTATTAAATTAATGTGAAAAGAAAGATGAGCAAATCCTTTATTAAATTGTAATAACACACACTCTCTCTCTCTCTCTCTTTTTCTAACAAAATAATAACTAACCAACTAACCTAGGATCTAATATCCGTAACCCTCCCTTTTGCATTACAGACGTGGTGGTAAACGAGCGCTGTAAGTACAAAGCGATCGCCGACGAGATGGATCAGACGTTCGCCGACCTGGCCGGATATTAGCAGGCGGACTAATTCTCAGACAACAAACGTGTGTATACCAAACACGTGCACACGCGCGCGCATATATACTTCTGAATACATGTATCATTTTAATGAGGAAGGGAAACAAATATGAAATAAGATCACGCTACATTTTAAAGAAACACTGCCAGCACGCAGATCCTTCGACACACGACGCCCAAAGATATGTATTCGATTCCTCGATCAATGGACGAAGAGGACGCGACACAAGGCGTCTTCTACAGATCTACACAGCCCAAGATGCTCGATGGATTTATGGAAAGAATAAGTTTTTCAATTTGTTTGTTTTTTTCGAATGATTAATTTATCTTGCAGATTTTGGTCAAAGAGATGATCTGAATTTTGAAAGAATAGGTTTTGTTAGGGGAAATTAAAGAAGGAGCGTTAAAGATGGAAATTTTGTGATAAAATTTAGGTTTATTAAATTTTTTAATGAACGATGAAGATATAGAATGTTGGTTTTTTATATGGAAAAAAACAGTTTTAGAATTTTCTTTAATAGATAGAAGATTAGAATCTCTGTTCAAATAAAGAAAATATTTTTAAAATACATTTTTTAGAAGAAGAATGGAGGATTAGAATATCTCTGTTTAGATAAAAAAAACATTTTTATAATTTTCTTCAAAAAAGAATTAGCTTTTACGTTTATAAAAATAGATTTACTATAAAATAAATTTTTTATTTATTTATAATAGCCAAACATAAAAAAAAGTTTTTTTTTAAACTTTTAAAATATTTTTGAATTATAAATTCAAAATGCGATATTATCATTAAGTAATAGAAATTAATATTTAAGTTTAAGAATATTTGAATTGATTTCTTCTTTCTTTTTTTACTACATTTATAAGACTTCCATTCTTCCTTAAGTTCGTATATATCATCATTATTTATAACATTAAGATAAATACCATTCATTTAATCTATCAGATTAATAAAAAAAATAATACTTTATCAATTATTATCAATTAGTATTTATATCGAACCTCTATAGCTGTGTAGACGATATCTTTCATCCAGTTTACCTCTTTTAACTTCGACTCTTATTTACAAATACACACATACACTCGTTATATGTACAATTCTTTACTCATCAGCAACGCATTTAATCGCGAAATTTAGCTTGTGCAACCAGATTAATAATTCTTCGTCTCGCGTAACCGTTATTAGGTTTACCGTGAATGAAAAACGGCTTTACTTCGTGCCAAGAAATGACACTAGCCATCTAATCGGAATGTTGGTGCAGAGATTAATCAATGTTCGATACTCGACAAAATAAAAATGTAAAAAAAGGAAAAATGTGAAAAAGAATTAAAACATTAGCCGAGCGCAAAAAATAATTAGTGGATTTTTAGAAAAAATATTTTTCTTCGTCAAATGATAGCCAAATCGCGTTAGAAACGATAAGAAATAAAAGTCTGATAATTGGATTGCGGATGTTTATGCATTTATGAAATTTAAATGTATGAAAAAAATGTATAAAATTCATACAATAAATATATCAAACATCCAAAACAAAAGATTTATAATATTTAAGAAGTGAGAAAAAATCTCAATTTATATTCCATTTCATTAATTGTGTTCACAAAAATATTAATTTACATAAATATCCGCATCTTTGGAGTTCAATGAGAATGGCCACATCGACTATTCTAACTGATCTAAATATAAAAAAATTTTCTGCGATTTTGTAAATTGTGTTTTGATGACGTCCAGAAAAAAAAACAAACTTTGGCTTCGTTCTTTCAACGATGTGTCAGTAGTCTATCGATTGAAACAATCTGTCCGTTTGACAATGTCTCAAGACCATTACGTAGAATAATCTTTATCATATCCCAATCACGACGATATAATTTGAAATTTCTTTTTTCAATGAAACTTTGTAATTAAGAATTTCGATGGAAAAATCATAAAAGTGCATTTTTGAAAAAATTTCTGATCTTAATCGATAATATCCTTGCTTCTAATTCATATTAAATTTTCATAATATAAAAAAAGAAGAATTGTATTTTTTAATCAAAGAAATGGTCTTGAATTCAATAAATTTTGGATGGAATCTAATTTTAATTTAATCTTAAATTCGTTACGAATAATTATTGATAAATGCTTTTTTGCATTCATGTTTTGTAATATTGCAAAACTGCCGCGTATTTTGATTAACACAGTTCTTATATTAAATATTTCGCTTTAAAAAATAATAATTTAAAATAAATAAATAAAAGAATCGTACTATTTTATTTTAGAGAATTTATACGTGTCTATCGATTATTCGGAAATTTTTTATTTACATCGACATATAATTTTCATATTCCTAACTTAAATTGAATTTTGAAAAAATATTTTTTACTTTTACTTTCACATTTTTACTTTCACATTTTTAGTTTACAACGTTAGAAAAAAACTTCGCAGATAAAGAGTAAAGAATAAAAAAATAAAAAAATAAAAAAAGTGAATTAAAGTTAAGAAACGAATTTAAGTTTATTTTAATATTTTTTATGATTAATTTCTTCAAATTTTTTAGCAATAAAAAAAAAAAAACAACGAAACATTAAAATATAATTGTAAGCTTCGTAACGAAGTTGGGCACTTATAATGCAAACTTTTTCGAATAATTATTTATAACTATAAAAATCTATATTTACATTTCTTCATACAATCGTTAATCGCTTCTGCGATAAATTTTTTTAAGGATTCGACTACTGAATAAAACTTTTTCCCAAAATCTGTCTCATACGGATATAATTTAGAACTCGAGAAGATGCACTTACTGCGAGATATCGATCTTATCAAATCGTTATCCTCTTATTGTACTTATATCACTTTCAATAAATATGCATTTTTTACACTTGAACAGCATATTGCTTTATTTATTTTAATGATTAAAATCATATGAAAATCATAAGCATTGCTAATCGAAATATAACATTAAGTAATTATTACAATTATTAATTATCACACTAAAACGAGTACTACAGTAAATATTAAAAAAGAAACAATTCTTGAGCATATAAATTTAGCAAACTATAAATATAGATAAGAATAAATAGTGGAAGAAAGATGAAAATAATGTAAAAATTGTGGAACTAGCGCCATCTCTAGAATTCCGC